TCCTGGAGTTACAAGATTAAGGTACTTTTAGTTTCCCTAAAAGTCAACTAGTGCTTTAAAAAGTGTACTTAAAGTAAATGTGCAAGCAGGAATATATAGAGGAGTGCACACTAAGGGGAGTGTGGGGGTGGTGGAGAGGGGAAATGAGGAGTGCTGATCAGTGTTTTGGTGGGGGTTTGTACTGAAAGTTGCCTTTCAGCAGTTCTTTTGTGACTACATTAACAATGACTGCACTGAATGGCATTAGCCGGGCTCCTGCACAAGGATAGTGTTAAATAATTTATGTAATTATTGGCTTAATGGCTAAAATGAATAAAGCTACACTAGCATGTTTTCATCAGTGAAATAAAGCAAGCATTCATTCATACATGTCATCTATGTAAACAAAGACTGACTTTGGCCTGATGTGACAAGGCCATATTACTCACTGTAGGGTGTAACTGTATGGATCTATGCCAATAGTAAATCAAGAATGATTCAGTTAATACATATAAATAATAGAAAAGCTGACTAAGAAATAAATGGCTACAAAGCAAATATTGAGATGTATAATTGAAACAGTAATTATGGAAAAATGTCAAATTTCTGCTGCTGAAAAAAAAATAAAACAAGTAGAAATTTTGGGTTATTATCAAAAGAAATTGTAAGTTAGTAAGTTCCCATCTCCACATAGCTAACTAAAAAGCTCAAAATTGAACAAAATAACTTGAACATTTTTGATTAAGGATAAGAAAATTCCAAGTTTCATTACAGTCGTCATGAATATTTGATAGTAGTATTTTATGTAGTTCATATGTATAATCCACAGATTAAAACAGTTGTTTGGCTTAAAATTGTATAATTTTTTGTCAGTTGTTTTGTGCTTTGTATCAAATGTATTTAGACCATGGAGCAGATTCTGACTTCCAAACCAGCAGGGGTGACTGTCATCTACGAGTATAAAGAAACTGGGAGTTTGAAAGATTCCACCAGGCGATTAATGGTGAACATCATTGTAGTTCATATGCGTGAAAAGGAAGGGTAAGAGGAATTACTCTATTTATTTATTTATTATTTATATATTATTTATTATTCTATTCATTTTTAAAACTGCCAAGAATCTTATTACAAACAACACTTCTGCTTTTGCAGGAGAACTGTAAGTAAAGCAACAAAGGAATTTCATGCACCTGGAATCGTGTCACTCTTCCAGTCTTTGAAGGATGCATACTCCAAAAAGGGCTATGCGAGTTTGCTCTGCAACTGTAGTGTGTAATAAGACTTGTTATTCATATACACACTTTACATTGCCTGCACTTTCTTTCTTTCTGTAGGAGCATTTCTATGATATTCAGAACAACAACTGTTAGGTTTAATGTATGTGTTGTAGGTTGCCATTTAAAAAGCTAGAATGCTTCTGTTTGGTCTCTATGTAACCCACACATATGAGTATGTGCACGACCTTGATAAGAGGAACAAGCAGTCTTGAGAAGAACAGATTCTATTCAATGAAGGAAGCCACCTGGCTAGGATGAGATACCAAAAACATCCTGGGAGAGCTGCACTCCCATCATATAACCACACACATTGTATAACCATGCTTGCACAGCACAATCACACTTTGTAACCAGTTATAGTAATTTCTCATACAGCAACAAGCTTTATGAATATTCATGTGTGTAACCAATAAAAACAACCTGCAGGGGGAAAGCAAGCTGAAGTGGGTTGGAGACAACTGCTTCCCTCTCGCGAGTGAAAACTTGAGCTCTGTGTGACCTCGTTCCTGAATGAGTTTCTGTTTATCCAGCAGTATCAGGGGTAAAACTCTGACAACAATGGTTTTCTTGAGTGGTGTCTCAAGACTGTGCAATGTCAATACAAAACCACCATTGCATCACAGAACAGAGTGGAACTGAAAGGAGGGCAAACATCACAAAGGATGTTTGGTTTCACTAATGACCAGCAAGCAAGAGATCAATGTATGGAAGCCATGTCTCTTCTTCATCACACCACTGACCAAGACATAGTCTTCCAGAAGATGAGAGAGACATTCTACTATTGTCAGCAGATACTCCATGACCCACAAGAATCAAACATTTTTCAGATGTTTCCTTGTTTCTTGGAAACTAAAGGATAAAATACTTGACTTACAAGATGTCACGGTTCTGGGTCCGTTGGACCCAGTAATTTGAGTTTATTATGTTTTGGTTTACTTTGTGTTTCAGTTATCTTGGTGTTTTGGATTGTTTTCTCATTCTCTTGTTGTGATGATGATGATGTTTATTATTAGAGTTTCATGTTTCTGTTTATCCATGTTTTAGGAATTGTGGTTTCATGTATTATTTTCTGTCCGCCCCTCTGTGTCGAGTCTGTGTCTTTGAGTAGTGTTTCATGTTTCCTGTTTTATTGTGAAAGTCTTTGTCTTA